ATGCTCCACTGCCATTTTTAGTTGCTTCCTCTGCATAACAGTAATGCATAGAAAAATTTTGCAATTTATTATTCAGAAATACATAGATTATATATTATTGAAGGCAAAGAAGGACCAGAGGGAAACATTGCACACATGGGAAATTGCTCCTCCACTGAACAGCCAGTAGGGGAGAACCACTGCTCCGCACTGCTCAAGCAGCCAGTTCAATGGCAGAGCTTTTGCCCACATGTGCAATGTTTCCCTCCAGTTCTTCTGCGCCTAGATGCTACGTTTGGTGTCTGAAGTGGGATCCAGTAGGGGCTTGGAGAAGGATGGTGCTTCAGTGAGATCTAAATTATTTTATTATGGTTTATTAAAACCTTGGGATACTTTATAATGTTTACAGTAAACTAGCACATTAGCCCATGCGACCCAAAGAGCAAGTAATGATTCACTGGACATTTTTGATCTTCTAGCTAAGAAGATCATCATATGTGAGCAAGATAGTTTGGAATTTTTGTGAAAATAAAAGGCTTGATGAAACGTTTGTTTGGTAACTGTTACATTAAATAAGTTTTAACATGGTACTATTCCATAAAACGTTTAGACGAGGTAAAACTTTTACCTCTTAGCTTATAAACCAGTTCAGTTTGTAAACAGGTTCCTATTTACAGACTGTTCTTAATAATTTTACTACTCTCTCCTCCTCTGTGCAAACCGACTTTGCAACAATCAATCAACAGTACTGTTGTTAGCAACGTGCAGAATTTAAGTGTTTTTGGTTTTTCTTAGACAAAAAGTACAAAAATGTGACTTTGGTTCAAAGACACAGCTATACTTTTGGTATCACTCCTATTTTTCACATATATAGAATAATGGAAGTAAGAACACTTCATTATTGTGATAGTGAGTTCTTACTGGAAAGCTCCACCATCATCATAGTACGGCTCCTCGTGTGAGCGTGAGCAGTCACCTTTGCACAGCTGACACAGTCTAGTGCTCTTAGTGGCTCCGGGGACGCAGCTGGCTGAGAAAAACTCCATCACCGCTGCAAAACAGTTGGTGCACATCATGTAACCAATGGTTTATCATTAAGCCTTGGACCAAAACAGACAATGATTCCATCAAAGGTTTAAAATTTATTTTTATTATTAGTATGAAAATACAAAATTGAAAGGTCTTACAACACAGTTAGGCTGAACAACTAATCACTGCAACAGTCTCAGTTCAGGTTGAAAGATGCCAATTAAAATCACAAGAGCTGTAATTTCAGTTAGAACTTACATTATTCACCACTGTCTTTAAAAGTATTAAGTGGGGAATGTTAACCTAATAACATAGAGCTTGTGAACTGGCAGTCTGGCACACTACTTTCAGCACTCAAGAATCAACAGATGTGCTGGTTTTCTTGAAGGGGAAAAAAGACTTGGAGCTACATTTGTAGAAAATATTTAAAAATCACAGCAATAATAATCCAGAGAACTGCAACTACATACACTATAAGAAAGAATAAGTATGTGGGCACCCCACCTAATCATTGAGATCAGGTGTTTCAGCCACACCCATTGCTAACAGCCAATCAGGCACATAGTAACACAGTCTCCATAGACAAACACTGACAGAAGAGCTCACTGACTTTAAACATGGCTCTGTCATAGGGTGCCACCTTTGCCGCAAGTCAGTCTCAGGTCAGGAACCCCAGTGGCCTGCACAGGGCCCTGACTTCAACCTCTCAGAACACCTTTGGGATGAACTGGAACATTGTGAGCCAGGCCTTCTCGTCCAGAATCAGTGTCTGACCTCACAAATGCTCTTCGGACTGAATGGTCACAAATTCCCACAGACGCACTCCGAAATCTTGTGGCAAGTCTCCCAGGCTGTTATAGCCACAAAGGGGTGCGACTCCGTATTAATGCTCACGGTTTTCAAATGGGATGTTAACAAGCAGATATAGGTGTGATCATAGATATATATATGCCTAGATGCCGCGTTGCCTGTTGTTCTCTATCTGAGGAGATACGTCTGCGCGTCCGCCATGTTGAAGAGGTCAAGATCCGCTTGTGAACAAATTCACTTGTATTGAGAGACGATAAGTCTCAGGATTAAATATCACATTAATCAGCTCATTCAAACCAATTTTTACAGACTATTTGTTGAAAGAAGGTAATATGTCAGAGCAGTGAGATAATTTCACTGGAAGAAATGACCTAAAATAATGTAAAACGACTAGAAATTAATAATCTTAACATTCTCGCAACAATGTAGCTCTGAGAAATTTCTTATAACTGTAACTATAATTTTTTTTTCAGTGTGCTAATTCAGAGAAAGCAGATTTGATTTCTCCACAGCAGTAATCCACAGAAACACCCCTGTACCCTGATACTCACCCTGTTCTAAAGGTTTATCCTCAATGCCGGCCCATTTGATCTGGTTTCTGGACAGGAATGTGCCGATGGGAACGATCCAACCTGCGGATTTCCCCAGCCCAGTGTGGCACGACCTCTTACCACGGAGTTCACTGAATTTAAAACGCGTGCCTTTCTTCACCACGGCAACGGCGTAGGGGCAGGAGTCTGTGTATGAAACATAACACCAGAGTTTGTTTTAATTAAACCTAAATTTTCGCACTTGGGGGCAGTTTCACTAAGAGAGGCGCAAACTGATAACAGTCTGCTAATTTAGTGGCCAATTTAATGAGTCTTCTACTTCCACATGAAACATCACAGGCACAACTTCGTAATTAACCTATGACCACATGTTTGGCTCCCGTGCTTTTTGAATGAAAGCCTGTTTCCGCCAGAGGCAAAAAAGTGATTTTTTTTTCTGTTTCTGGTTCAAACTGTGACTCACTACTTTGAAATAGTGACAAATTCAATACTTGTCAAAAACGTGTGATTTTTTCAAGAGAATATATTACAGATTACATAATTTATTGATTTTTGATGTGAGAAGTAAACACCACCTCCGCAGCAAAAACAATATTTCAAACAATAACACTTTCTACAAATGTTAATGCGCAGTTACCTTATATAACTTTAAAAACAGAAAGAAATAAAATAGTAATTGCAGCATGTGCAAAAGTTTGGACACCCTTCCAGTTGTAAAGTCTCAGAACTTTGACTCATTAGGGCTGGTTAGACAAAATCGTCACTGGGAGTTTGCAGCTGAAGAGGATTCCAGACTGTGATAGACTAGTGATCAGTTCTGTGGGAAATTCCCAGGCTTGAAAAAAAGGCCTTTACACTTGGCCATATTTGCTGAACTCCCAGAGCAAACATCCGGGTCCAGAAAATAGCTTAAATATGAAAACTCATGAAATCACTTTCAGATTCCATCTAACCATCTCCAGAGGGTCTTATCTGTTTTTCAGATAGATTACCTTCGCCATAGTCTTCGGCATAGACAGGATGAAGGTCGTAGTTTTTGAGGCCGGCTTTGTAGATATCTCCTCCGTCCAGAGTGATGGCATCTGCTTCACCATCCTGATCACAATTACACAATTACAGAATTCAGGTCAGTGCTGTACAATACATATAATACAGGAAACAGTGTAAGATTGGGACCATAAGACAGAAGTGTTTACTTAGCAGACTGTAGTAGTTTAATCTGCCCTGTAATGGTAATGTAATTTTACCCAATATAGAAAATATACATTAAAATATTGTATATCTGGCAGTGGTGGATGAAGTACACAAACCATGCACTTGAGTTAAAGTAGAGACACCCAAGGTAAAATATTACTCCAGTAAAAGTAGACGTTCCTCCCTTTAGACCTCCACTTACATACAAAGTATTTGCCTTCAAATGTACTTAAGTATTGAAAGTAAAAGACATTACTAGTTAATGCAAGGTACTGGTTTTCCACTGTAAACTACTGTTAATCAAAATAAAGACAACTAATTTCAGAAACTGCTACTATTACTATAAATATGTGCATGCATAATGCATTTTTTAATAAAACCCCATAAACCCCTTCTCTGTGTCTCGATGCACATGCATGCATCTTTGCAGAAATATAATTCAGCCTTAATACACTTTATGTAGATACACCTGAAAGGGAACAGACTGACACCCCACCGAAAGGACACTGAAACTGTACCTTGATGGATCTGATGCATTCATGATGTCCATCGCGCTTCACGCAGGCCAGCTGCATAGTTGTGGTCGCGAGGTCATTGCACTTACGCAGCTCCTGGTTCGACGTCAAACACCATCTGACCTTTGAATCATGTGGGGCAGCTGGTGCTAAAGCTGATAAGACAAGACACATCTGGGGTTGCAAAATATGCACAAATAGACTTTTTTTCAGTTATATTGCCAGATATTGTGAAAAGCTTTAAAAAAAAAACACTTTGCTGTGTTTAAAAATTCTTGTTGTGACGTGCTTGAAAATCCACTCTAGTCATTTTGACCAAAATTATCTGTTTTGATGGAATCGTTGCCTGATCAACGCCTTGATCCATCATAACATCTCGTGTGAAATCAGGCAAATTCCACATTTCTAAACATAATCACAGTTAATAATCACAGTTCTCTATCACACATTCGAGTAACCAGGACAAAAATGATTAACACATTTCCCTAAATGTAGATAAGAACACAAAACAGATTAAATAAACACATTAATAATAAGAGCCAGTGTGCTGCTGTTTTAGCAGCTTTCATTTAATTGTTCTCTTCCACTAATTATAGAGAAGTACATTGAAATTGTCCTTTATAATCATTTGTATGCTACAGACACAGCAGATAGAGGTCAACAACATCAGAGTATTCCTTTAAGCCCTGCTTGCAACATTCACTACAATACTGAGACGCTACTGAAAATAAGGTATGCTGAAAGAAAACAAGGGTGAGCTAAAAGGTAAAATCAGATTTAGACTTACCGAGGCAGCCGAGGAAGGCAGAGATGATGATGTTCATGCTGGGGGTTCTAGACTTCCAAAGGCAGCTCCTCATTTTTAGGTAGGCAGGAGAGTTTTTTAAAGTGAGCATGGAAATGAGGGGTGGAGTCAGAAATAAAAGGGGGTGGGCATTAATCATTAGTAGACTGCTTGTAAGTATGAAATGCTCACCAGTAACTTGGTCAAAACATCAGGAGAAAAACATCTCACTGATAATGCTCAGTTGTGTCGTTAGTGCTAAGCTAACAGTAATTTGCACAAACACTTTCTGGCAAGGCTGAAGCTTCTCATTCAAATTCCCACCTTACACGCTACAGCAGTTACATTCTATTGACTAAATGTGCCAGAATGTAACGTAAATGGGACAAAAAGTTCGAAAAAAGGTAGTTCTAGATTACAAACAAACATTTGGAGTTTCTAAAAGACATAGCCATACAAATTAGCATGTATTTTGACTTGTAGCAGTTTGAGTTTTTCAGTAGTTCAATTAAATCCAATTTAACTTTGTTGTCATTGTACAGATATGGCATAACGAAAGTATAACGAAACATGTTTGGGCTACGTGGTACATGTACATGTACAAGGGGATGACAAAATATGTACACCCAAAATTAGTACAAAAAAACAAAATAAGTACAATAAATAGACAATACAGTAAACAGACAGTAAACAATAAGAATAAAATAGAGACACGGAAGTGTGCTGGTGCATAAACAGTGTGTATGTGTTTGTCCAAAGTGTGCAAAATATGTGTGTTCATTTTAATATTAGATTAGAGCAGAGGTCACTAATAGGCAGACCGCGGTCTGAGTTCGTACCAGACGCTGTCCTATGCGGACCTGGACCTATAACTGATAAAATATGGAGAATTATTTAATTTTGACAGGGTGGTCCTATTTTAATCAGGTAACATTTTTAGTCATTACAGTACCAGTTTAGCGGCCCGGCAGACTCACAGACCAATCACATGCGTTATGAATATCACACGTGATGCTACTCAGCCAATCAGATCTGTGCATTACGATGAGCACTGAGACTCCAGTGAGTGACACACACAGAGGGGAGAGACGAGGCGAGAAACAGCAGTCAGAGAAGAGAGTGAGCCAGATTATTTTACATGGCGTTCTCTAAAAACAGAAAACTGACAATAAATGTTTTTGAAATATGACTGAATTTGGCTTTGTTTGATTTGATTTGATTTGTTTGATTTGATTTGAAGGCATTGTTGGGCCATTTTGAGGAGGTGTGACATATTGAGTGACCAGGTGAGATCCTTGGTGGTATGAACTCTTAAGAATTCAAAGTAGTTCACTCTTTCCACCATAGTCTCATCAATGCTCTGAGGTGGGTCTACTCTGCTTCCCTTCCTGAAATCAACAATCATCTTTTTGGATTTGTTAATACTGAGGAGAGACTGTTGTCTGTGCACCACTCGTGAGGAATTTCACCTCCTCTCTGTACATCTCCTGATTGTTGTTAGTGATGAGGCCCACTACCGTTGCATCGTCAGCAAACTAGATGATGGAAGTTGTGCTTGGGAATGTAGTTGTGGGTGTACAGGGTGTAGGGCATTGGTGATAAGTCACAGCCTTGTTGACAGCCTGAGAATGAGGGTGGGGGAAGTGTGGCCACCATCCTAACAGACTGTGACCTCCCAGAGAGGAAATCAAGAATCCAGCTGAAGACTGAATGATTCCTAGTGTCTTGAGCTTGGAGACCAGTCTACAGGGGGTATATGTATTAAATTATGAACTAAACTTATGTAGGTGTTCTTGCCCTCCAGATGGTTCAGTGCAGTATGTATTGCCAGGGATATTGCATTTTTGATTAAACAACTTATGAGGTAGGGCCCATAGTTCTGGGGAGGCAGTTCTTAATATGAGTCAAGACAAGTTTTTCAAACCACTTCATTAAGATGAGTGTGAGTGTAGTTGGGCAATAGCCATTGAGGCATGTGACATAGGGTTTCTTTGGTATGGGTATGATGGTTGTAGTTTTGTACCAGGTGGGAACAGTACACTGTCCTAGGGAGAGGTTGAAGATGTCTGTGAAAGTGGCAGCCAACTGTTGGAATGTGCTTTTAGGACCCACCCTGGGATACCATCGTGTCCGGCGGCTTTGCATACGTGCACTCTCGACAGAGCTCTCCCCACCTCATCTATAGACAGTGTGAGTCCTGTTTTTTCTGCAGAGGGACCTGAGGCTTTGCTGGTCAACCGAGCTTGGCTGATCTCAAAGCAGGCAAAGAATGAGTTCAGTTGATAGGGAGACATCTGTAACTGATGAGGTTTTAAACTTGCTCTTGTAGTACATAACTGCGTGGATTCCCTACCACATGCACTGAGGGTCTGAGTTGTTGACATGCTATATGCTTTCTTGGAAGCCTTGATGCCAGCTTTCCGATTATGTCTGGCTGCTCTCAGATCTTCCACATTACCAGATTTGAAGGCTGCATCACATGCTTCAAGTAAAGTGTGGACTTTGCTGTCCATCCAGGGTTTCTGGCTTGGAAAACTGTGCGAATGTTTATTTTTTTTGTTGGGATGTTATAATCTGTTTGTATGTTAAGCCTCAAAAATAGTATAAGTAGCAAATACAGGTATAAACTACCTGATGTCTCACTCATCCTGTCCTAGAAGCATAACAAGTTCATTGCGGAGCACGTACTGGACAAACCGAGATGTTAATGTCAAACTCTCCACTGCGCTGTCTCTTCTCTGTCTTTATGGCGAATGAATTTCAAATACATACAAAACAAAAACATAACAAAAGCAGGCAAGCTTGTCACAGGAAAGGTTGTACTAACATGTTTCAACCATTACAATCTGACATTAAGAAGTATGTAGATTACTACTTTTTAATCAACCGTATTTGGCATTCACACACAATATTTTAGCCAGACGCAGCACACAAAGTGCCTCGTGGTCTTTTGCTAACCATGGGGGAGTTTATGCGCTTAACCATTTCACCGATCACAGCAACAAACACATTTAACTACATACAGAACGCTTTTCCATCATAGAACACACATTAAGTGGATTCTTAGAAAGAAACGTTTATGTTTTGTGTGTTTTTACCTGTAAAAGGAAAGATAATTAAAAGACAAACTCTCTGCTGTGCTGTCTCTTCTCTGTCTTTATGGCAAATGAAGACAGGCACAGCGAGTGCGCCCCCTCTTGGCTGACACAGGCATGAGCAATCGATCATTTTGATAAAGGCCAATAGATTTTAACCCCAAATCCTCCCTTTTTTTGCTAGCTGCCACAGTCATAAAGAAAATACTGTAGCAAACATAAATAAGAATTAACACTTTAAACCATGCAGGGAAACACCACATACACACTAGTAAAGACACACACTAGGGGGCAGTGAACACACTTGCCCGGAGCGGTTGGCAGCCCTATCCGCAGCACCCGGGGAGCAGTTGGGGGTTGAGTGCCTTGCTCAAGGGCACCTCAGTCATGTTAGTCAAGTTCAGGGGATCAAACCAGTGACCTTCCGGTTGCAAGGCTGGTTCCCTAACCTCCAGCCCACGACTGCCCTAAATATGATACGTAATTATTTTAAAGGATAGTCTATGTGCTGTTATATTATATATATATATATATACTATACACTATATACATTTCTTTAACTGGGTACACACACATCTTGTAAATATGATATTTCCTCATTAGAACAAAACTGAGCACATTTTCAACACCATTTCAAAGCGCCAATTAAATGTGCATCACACATGCACTACACAGATATCTACTAAGAGAAGAAGGGCAGGAGGGGTCAGATTATTCAATTGCCCTCGGCTAGGTTAGTCTTACTTAGTCAATCTGCTAACCAGGCAAACTTTGTTTTTTTGGAGAAGTTTAATGTCCATATACTTTCTGAGTAACTACTTTGTCTGGCTGTAAGCTTTAGTATAGAACTGCAGTGTAGTGCCTTTCTTTTTGTTGTTAGCTGTGTAGTCTTTAGTATGTTAACTAACCGAGTAAAGTGATGAAGTTATATCAGTAGTTATGTATAACAGATGGAGTAGTTTGCTTTAAAAGGCAAGCAATTCGAATGTTATGGTTTACCATTTCATTGCAATGATTTCTGGGTGAGTTCAGCTGCTGAAGGACTTGTTCAGATATCACTGGTAATTTGGGAACTTGATCCATTGCCTCTTTTAACACCCCTCACTTAATCACTCTTCACATCACTGTCTAGTACAATAATGGAACAGCCCTGAAGAGGGCGTCAGAGATTCTCTTCAGGAGAAATGGTGAGCTCAAGTGAATGAGGGCTTGTTAAAACTAATACTGAGACAAGGAATGGCAATGGGGATAAATGAATCAGAATTAATAGATTCAGAAACGGTGGAAACCTGTTATTGAGAAACTTCAGACAGGCACTATCCCGTTCATCTGGAGGTGGAGCTGTTTTTTATTTATTCCTCACAGCTCACAGCTCAATGAATGCGTTTACATACACTCAATAATCCGATCATAATCGGATTTCTGCACTTATACAATTATTCAAATGGTCATGTAAACACTCCGATCTAGAAATCTGATTAAGAAATCCAATAAAAAGAGCTGGATTTTAGCTCAGTATTCAGACTTACCAGTGCATATATACTCGTACTTCTTTTGGATTTCTCATTGGCTGGTTGCAAAGCAGAAATCTGATTTCTGCCTGACTCATGTACACCCAGAGTTTCATGTTATCTGATTACTCGAGTGCATGTAAATGTGTTAATCGGATTACTGACAAAATCTGATTTTCTGCAGTTATCGGATTATAAAGTGCATGTAAACACACTCAATGTTGTTAGAACAAGTAACTCTAAAGTAAGCCTTTATCTGGGTTACCTTATTGGCTAAGATCCACTTTATTATGATGTTTAAAGATAATAAATTGCCTAGCAATGCTTAGCTGGCGACGGTTTAATAAATTAATCACTTCTGGACAGCGCCCACATTTGCGATTAAAACTTCTGTTTGAAGATAAATATTAATGCACTTGTATGTGTTCAATCTTTTGCATCCTTGGAGTTTATTAAAAGTGCTTGTGTAAAAGACAACACATCTCAGCATCTAACTA